GGTGGGATGCTGGTACCCTTATGGTTTGCAAGCTTTGGTAACACGGGCTTCTGTGGCCTGTTGAGAGATGTCCTGAGCCTTTGCTGTGGAGGAGACTCTCTGGAGAGGCAGGGGCCAGCACAGGGCCCCTGACAGCAGGATCTGATAAAAGGACATGTTAGTGTTTGTCACAGGCTGCTTTTCTTTTTTATTGTTTCGCTGGAGGCCATCCAGTTCTCTTTAAGAAATAGTTGCTGGCTAAGAATCTGGCTGTCCCCCATCCTCAAGATCAGGCTGGGTCTGTGATGGTAATCTGCTTGTCTGGAGATGAGGTGGTGTTAAACTAGTCTCTGAGATGGTGATGGTCCCCGTGCCCCACTAACCCAACACTAGTCAACACTGTTCGGTAAAATTCTCTCAAGATTTCACACATCTTGAACCCATATGTTATGTTGTTTATAATCTCCTGATCTCCCTTCTAAAGTCTAAACCAAATACATTGCAGTCAATGAACAACTTAATTGGAGTTTTTAAAGGCTTAAGTTATACCCAAGTATACATTTATAATAAAATGCATGCGCTCTTTCTATGTAAAAATATATAGTTAAAATATAGTGTCACTTATTCAAATTAGCAATTAGAAACAGATTAATTTTTCATAAAAGTAACTTGGTAAGAGACAGGTTCAAAAGCCCATTTTCAGTAATAGCCCTCAAAATATGTGGTAGTCCCCGCACGGGGGGCGGGGGGGGGGTAGCTTCAAAAGCCGCAACAAAAGCCATGAGGTTTGCCGCAATATGTGGGAAGGATAAACAACACCTCTTGAAGCCCAAAAACACCTTTATAAAGTTGAGAAGTGCCACTGATATTGAATACATCCCCAAGAGTAGTAGGTTTACCACCCAAGCTCGTGTTAGGAGGATACATGGGGCACAGTGTCAGGTATGTGGACAGATAAGGAGAAAGGACAATTCTACAGGACCCTCTCCCAGCAGCCACCATGCAGCATCCTTTGAACAGCGTTGACACACCTTCGTCCTGACAGAAGGGGCAGCTGGGTCTCTCAGGGGTGGCTGTCGCCTAGGGACATCTGCTGTTCTCCCAGGTGAAAGGCAGGGCGGCCACCCATTCGACTGTAATCCTTTTCAACAGCACAGTCCCACCACACCGATGCAGTTTATGATAGAGAGGGCAGAGGGCAGAGGTCAAGGGGCAGAGGGCAGAGGTCAGGGACTGATGGACAGGGCAGATGGCAGGGACTGATGGACAGGGCAGAGGGCAATGGGCAGGGACTCTAGCTCTGGAAAGCAGCATTTTCTAGGGACAATGAGCAAAAGTAGTTATAATTCTTTAAGTCTGAATCACTCAGCTCTGGAAGGTTCTGTCAGGGCAGGAAGCTAAGGAAGGACGAAAGGAGGAATTGCTTTTGGTCCTGACACAGATTGAATATCAACGATAACACACGCACGCGCACGCGCACACGCACACGCACACGCGCACACGCACATGCGCGCACGCACACACGCACACACACGCACACGCACACACACGCACACCAGTCATCCCAGGGGCTGGAGGTGTTCCTGTGAGGTCACTCTTTTCCACGTTGAGGTTAACCAGCTGAAGTTGTTGCTGGAATTTTTCACTGTGTTTTTGTACAGGGCTTTGACCCCATGGTCAGGCAAGACCCTGGGGCACTTTGTCAGTGTTGGAAAGCCCTCCATCTTCATCTCTTTGAAAGATTCTGGCAAAACCACCAACAAAAGTACAACACGAGATCAGATTTCTGCGTTTTTGTGCTGCTTTCAGAACAGTTACAACTTCCCTCAAAAATGTGTCTGTGGGCTGGGGAGGTGACTCTGAGGTAGGGCACATGTGTGAGGCCCAGGGTGCTTATTTCCCAGCATCATGTATCCACAGACACAGGAGCACATCACACACACACACACACACACACACACACACACACACACACACACGCCCATACACATGCACACACACATGCACACACACATGCCCATACACATGCACACACACACATATACACACACGCCCCATACACATGCACACACACATGCACACACACATGCACACACACAGGCATGTATACACAAAAGAAGGCAAGTAGGCAAGCCTCCTTCTAACTTGATTTCAGTGGTCACAGCCAACTTTGACATGAAAAAAGACCAGCTGTCCGAGGTTCTGGGTGTTTTCAGGCTGAGGCCACAATTGCCCAGAAAGATAAACATAGGCACAGAAGAAGGTGTGCGTATAGGCTTCCTATCCAACTCATGGGATTCCATCCTTCTTTCTCTGTGGGGGACACCACATCACAAAGGAGGGTGATGGAGCTGGAGACCCCATCCTGGACAGAGCAGGCCTGCTGGGGGAGCTCCCCGCTGCCCAGTTGGGCAGTGCATGCTGTGTCTTGAGCTGACCTAGATAAGATGAGAGGCAGAGAGGACTCTGCTGTTTCCATCGGGAGTTCAGAACAGAGCTGCAGAGCTTCCGGTACTGGGCGCAGACCTGGGAGAGCTTGAATGAACACTGCAGACCTTCTGAGGCCCTCTCCTGCCTCTCCTGCTAGCCTTAGACACACGGCGGACCCTGGTAGTGAGGCTGTGCCCTTTGGGCCTAGTGGTCATCTTTGAACTTTGAGATGACCTTCTGAAATAGGAAATAGATATGCCAAATATCTACCAACTGCCTCGGGACAGCTCCTGAGGCTTGCTGGCCAGCCAATCCAGCTGACCAGGTAAGTTCCACATTCACTGAGAGACTCAGTCTCAAAAAAGAAGGCAATGTAAATAAATACTCCTTCACTGAGAGCACATGTCTCAAAAAAAAAAAAAAAATAAGGTGATGGAAGCAAATACTCCCAGTGGGTCTAATAAAAACTAATGTTATCATGTCAAACTGGCTTGCAAAATTCCTAAAAATTAACAGTCGGCTTTTGCAACCAAACTGGACCCCAGCTCATCATCATCACTGGCTCTAGCCCAGATCAATAGGATTGAAACTGACCCAAGACAGAATATTTGCTCTGGAGCCAGACAAGCCTGAACAGGATGCCTAGCACATTCCAATTCCCCCTTCTGTGTCTCCTAGATTCAAAACCCATTTGAACACGGGCGTCAGTCCAGGCTCCACCCATGAGGACAAGTGGCTTCTGCTTGGTTCAGTGCAGGAGAGGGAGGTGAGACTCCACATGGGAAGCATTTTCTGTGTATCTGAGTCTGTCCTTAGAGCTGGGACAGACTCAGGAGGAGTGTGACCTGCTCACACAAGGCCTCCAGACTGAGCAGGTTGGCACCTAATGCTCCACTAACTGAAGAAGAGAGCGGTGTGAAGCAATGCTCTGGATATTTGATCCAACGTGGTGCTGAGAAAGGGCAAGGAAGGAATGATGGGGTGCAGACTCACAGCACCAGGCATGCTCCATGTATTTAACAGACAGCTATGCGTCTTCTAGCAGAGGGGCACACACAGCAGGGTAAGGAAGGAATGATGGAGTGCAGACTCACAGCACCAGGCATGCTCCATGTATTTCACAGACAGCTATGCATCTTCTAGCAGAAGGGCACACACAGCAGGGTTTTTCTTAAATCTAATTCACATCTAGGGTCCTTTCTACCCTAAGAGTTTTGCTCCAAGTACAGACGTACAGATAAAAACCTAGATGCTAGATGAGATATAACTACAATTACCTGTAAAATGGGCACCAAAAAGCCGAAGGTCTCTGTTGTGAAGCCTGGCTGACAAAGCCTAGTTGGATATCCTTTGTTCCTGAAAGTGGTATATGGTTTCCTCCTGTCTATCTAACTTGAGTGGTTGCCCCTACATGCCAATTACAGAATCTAGGGGTAAGAGGTGGAGATGGGGGTGGGACAGTAGGAGCACTTACCCAGGGAGGAAGGATGCAGGACAAGGGGCGTTTTTGGTAGCAGCCTCCACACCTTCGCTGATGTGCTTGTTATGCTAGTACCCCCAGCAAGGACAAGCTGGAACAAGCTCTGAGCTACAGACACACCAGACAAAACGGCATGATCCTCTCTCTTGTTTATGGAGAGGGAATGTGCTGGGGTGACTCATGGGAGCTATTCTTTGGGTATATGGGGGACTGGGAAGAAGTAAAGTGTGCAGTTGATTAGTGGAGTCTAGGTTTGGGGACACCACGTGAAGCCCCTGAAAAGCAGTGTCTACCCTCACCTTCATCGTGAGATTCAGGCAGCAAGTGCTCCAGGCTAGCACACCGGGGACTACTCAGCCCTCCCACACGGCTGGAGAAGAAGATGCTGCACAGGAAAGAATGTGCAGCCAGTGCAGTCTGTGGCCTGGAGGAGGTGCCTGCCTGCTCTCAGGAAGCAGCCAGAGTGTAGAGCCTGGGATGAGGGGCCAAGGAAGGGTGCTCTGGACCAGGGATGGGGGACAGAGAAGGATGTTCTGGATCAGGGATGGGGGCAGGGAAGGATGCTCTGGTTGAGGGATGAGGGGCCAGGGAAGGGTGCTCTGGACCTGGGATGGGGGGGCAGGGAAGGATGCTCTGGATCAGGAATGGGGGGGGCAGGGAAGGATGCTCTGGACCAGGGATGAGGGGGCAGAGAAGGATACTCTGGACCAGGGATGAGGGGGCAGGGAAGGATGCTCTGGACCAGGGATGAGGGGGCAGGGAAGAATGCTCTGGACCAGGGATGAGGAGACAGGGAAGGATGCTCTGGACTAAGGATAAGTGAGCAGGGAAGGATGCTTTAGAGTATCTTTTGAATCCTACTTGGCATGGAGGTGGGGCAGCTATTTTGGGGTGAGAGGTAGATTAAAAGAATGCTTGAAAGAGAATAGAGTAGCTGGTTCATCTGGCTTGTTCATTCTAAGTAAGCCAGGAAACAATTATTTGTAAGCTCATGTGTGTGTGTGTGTGTGTGTGTGTGTGTGTGTGTGTGTGTGTGTATGTGTGTGTATGAATGTGTGTGCATGTGTTTGTGGTCACAAGAAGCAATTTGAGGAAACAGCCAATCTTATCTTTAGCAGCCTTTATTCTAGTCACAAATAATTTGCTTCATTTCATAAACAGACCCATTGGTTAACTCTGATTTATTGATGAATTGGATTGTTGACTTGCCATTCTTGTTTGCTGGTTTCTGTTAAAGATGTTGAAGAATGAAATGTGTGATGGACCAGTCAGAACTTCTCTCCTCTTTTTAATTCCCAAACAAAATAAAATCCCACTCAAAGAAAAGTGGTTTATTCTCCCTTTCCTCTGCTATTCCACTGTCTGTCTGCTTCCTCTCCATCCATTTTTCCCTTTTACCAATTTACTACGTTCATTCATTTACCCGTGCATTCAGCTGAGCAGTTAGGCTAGTCTGAGTACACAAGCCAGCCATTGGTGTCCATGCGCAAACAAACAACCTCCATCTTCATTTAGTTTGGATAAGAATTCTCTAAGCATTTTACTCAAAGGAAGTAGGTATTTTTCATGCAGGGAAAATGATTAATTTCAATATTCACAGCGGATGAGAACTCTTGTATTACCCTGGGCTTGGCCAAGATGCTGCGTGTGGTTTCTTCCATCCGGGAAGGCTTGTGATTCCTGTTGTGTTTTATCCCCTGAACTCCCCGGTGGTGGTCCCATTAGAGTGCGAGTCTCATGGGCTCCCTGTCTTCGCCCTAGCACTCACCGCGTTGCTTGAAAGCAGGCTGTGTAGGAATCAAGAGGAAACGCCATATGGACTCTGGCAGGGGAGAGGAGGCAGGGCGGAGGAGGCAGGGTGTACCACAATGCCTCCTGTGCCACCTGCAGAGCGTGGTACCCCGCCTCCCTAGAGAGTCAGTGGGGCCTCGCTCGGAACCGAAGGAAATGATGGAAAATTAAAGACAGGACAAAAAGGGACAGGCGTAAAACGGAATGCAAGGCGGTTTTCTGATGGGAGCTCTGGCAGAGCAAAGCGGAGGTTTCCCTTGGCGTCAACTCGATTTGCTGCCCGAGCACATCCCCTGCATGCTTACCACATGTGTCTGTGTCCAGGGGACTGTGAGCAAACTCCATGCTGCCCGGGTTTATGGCATGAACTCCCTGCCTGTATTCTGGCTCTGTGTGGGTTTCTGGGGAACAGCCGCTGGCACCTACGGGATGCAGGGGACCCCAGTCTGCAAGGTTCTCATCCTGCAGCCTCACACTCCTCGACTGCAGTTGCCATTTGCCGCAGGAAAATGAAGGGGTGGGGGCTGGTCCCTCCTGAGTCCCTGTGATGAACATTGAGAATAATAAGTTCTGACTGCAATAACCCTTCCGAAAATGAAGCAATTCTCCGTGGAGCCCGCCCTCCTTTTGATTCTGCCTACAAATTAAGTATAAATTGGAATCTCTGATCGTTCCTTCCTGGTCCAGGCTAAGCAGCAAAGCTGCACGGAGCAGGGAGAATTGGCAGTGGAGTGCCTGTCAAAGGCCTGTTTACGGTTGGGACCTGCCTGCCGTGGAGAGTGGGGTAATCTCTTCTTCAGCTTCTGGTTTCCGGGAGGAAAAATGAGAAAACAAGGTGTGTTAGCAAAGGTGCATGAGTCTCTGGGTGCTTGCTCTTTGTAAAGAGAGCTCGGTAAGGCTGCTGCGTGGTGAAAACAAGCCTGTGTCAGGGCTTCATTTCAGAAGATTCAAAAACACCAGAGCTTGAGAGGACAAGAGGCAAGAAGAGAGCAGGGAGGGGATGGGATGACAAGAGGCAGGAGGTTGGAGAGCCCTGCTCTGCTGACATGTCACGGAGTCACAAATACAAGTACCAGAAGCTTGATCTCTGGAAAGATGTTTCCTGCTGAAGCTTACTGCAGAGTGAGAAAGAAACCTCTGCCTTTCCCTGTTCTCACCTTTCCCTGTTCTCATCTTTCCCTGTTCTCATCTTTCCCTGTTCTCACCTTTCCCTACTCTCTTCTTTCTCTGTTCTCACCTTTCCCTGTTCTCACCTTTCCCTGTTCTCATCTTTCCCTGCTCTCACCTTTCCCTGTTCTCACCTTTCCCTGCTCTCACCTTTCCCTGCTCTCACCTTTCCCTGTTCTTACCTTTCCCTGTTCTCACTTTTCCCTGTTCTCACCTTTCCCTGTTCTTACCTTTCTCTGTTCTCACCTTTTCCTGTTCTCACCTTTCCCTGCTCTCACCTTTCTCTGTTCTCACCTTTCCCTGCTCTCACCTTTCCCTGTTCTTACTGGCTCTCTCTCTTAGAGATGCGTCTTTGTTTGCTGGAATGCCCTTTCCTGTCCATTGCAAGCCATCTGTTCTTCGGGGCTCATTCAGTGCCCTCTGCCCTGCAAATCCTTCTTGGGTATCCCTGAGTAGATGTATAATTGTATAATTCCTTCCCTGCAGTTTTAGAAGACTTTTTTCATTTTAATTTTTTTGTTTTTGTTTTTCAAGACAGGGTTTCTCTGTGTAGCCCTGACTGTCCTGGAACTAGCTCTGTAGACCAGGCTACCCTTGAACTCACAAAGATCTGCCTCCCAAATGCTGGGATTAAAGGTGTGCACCACCACACCTGGCTTCATTTATAATAAAAAAAATCTCTAATTATGGTTTCATATTATGTATATATACATAACTAAATTTACTATAGCCACCATTTTTCTGTATGTGTATAATATGTGTGTGATATGTGTATGTGCATATGCGTGCGTGTGCATATGGAGGCCAGAGATCAGTACTGGGTGTTTCCTCTGTTGTGCTCCACAGTGTTTTTTGAGGCAGGGTCTCTCACTAAAGCTGGAGTTCACCAGTTCTCAAGACTAACCAGTTGGCAAGCTCCAGGATCCTCCTGTCGCTACTTCCCAGCACTGGAATTGCAGGCACACACACCACGCTTGGCTTCTTATGAGGTTTCTGGGGGTGCAAGCTTAGGTCCTTGTGCTTGCCCAGCAGACATTCTGCTGATCAGAGCTGTCTCCCCAGCCCTCTATCCACTTTTAGGGTGCAGTTGAAAAGTGCTGTGCCGAGTTGCATCATTTCCAATCAAGCTCCAGATCATCTTAGAAAAAAAAACACCGAACCTCTTAACCTATTAGAACCTATTGCTTAATAGGTTTACTTATTAAAGACTTACTACTTAGTTAAGCCCACACTCCCCGGCCCCTCAGCTGGGACAACCCTTGGCTGTTTCGTCTCTAGAGGTTTGGCTGGTCTAAGTATCTCCTAAAAGAAACCACACAATAGCTGTCTTTTGTAACTGGCTTGTTTCACTACACACCTGTTGTCCTTAAGGCCTAGCCACGCTCTAACATGGGGTAGAATTACCTTCTTTTCCAAGAATGATAATTGGGCTCATTTTCTAGGGACCTACATAACATGCTGTCTTATTTTTAAACTATGTATATACATTTTATCTTCTTTACAGGGTTCTAAATTTCTGGAGGAGAAGCTCTCAGTCTGTAGTTTGAGTCTCCACTGCATCTGTTAGCCTCATGCACGGCAGAGAGCATGTGCCATCTAAATTTGTATTGAGAGAATAAAAAACAATTGCTGCTGTAGCCGGGCGGTGGTGGTGCACACCTTTAATCCCAGCACTCGGGAGGCAGAGGCAGGTGGATCTCTGTGAGTTCGAGGCCAGCCTGGTCTGCAGAGTGAGATCCAGGAAAGGCGCAAAGCTACACAGAGAAACCCTGTCTTGAAAAACAAAACCAAAAAAAAATTGCTGCCATCTTGTCTCAACTTGATTCTTCTAGCCTTTGACGCCCCCCATCATCGATAGCCCTAACAGGCTCAACAGCAATGCAAAGAACTCCAAAAGAAGACAGAAAGAGACTGGCCACTCTCATCAATGTCATGCCCATCTTGTTATCCAGCATCCTTGAATTCGCCCCTTATCTCCTGGCTGGATCTCTCTGCTTCCTTTGGGAAATGTCTCCTTCGAGACTGGAGAGCTGACCCAGTCACGAAGGAACTGGAAAAGCCGGAACGGAAGAGAGAAGAGTAAGGAGCAGTTCATACAAGCAGCAACACTGGGATTTAGACTTTCACCCTGCTAATGTTTGGTTATGAAAGTCATTGCTTTTGAGAGGTATTTTCTGATAAGGATAAAGCTAGGGCTCAAAGGGCTGGGGAAGTCTTCTTGCAGCTCCCCATGGTAGAGATGTAGTCCTCAAACCGATGTACAGATGGGCCCAGCCCTCATGACCAGACTCATGTCATTATGAGAGCAGGTGGTCAATTTCTTATTGTGGGAGAGGGTTCCTGCAAAATAATGAGTTCATGTGGGTGTGCTAGTACATGTTTATATGTAGTAGACATGTACTAGTACATGTCTATATTCATGGTACTTGGGTGGCAGAGGCAGGAGGGTATCACAAGTTTTCAACCGACCAGACCTGAGTTCCTGACCATCCAGGCTACATCTCAAGACCCTTTTTCAAGAAACAAACACTGTCCAACCAACCAACCAATCAAAGGCGGCTGACCACTGTTTCCTCTTGTGTCTTTCCGCCTCTTGTCATAGGGATGGTGTACCCAAAAAGTCCTTGACAGGTGCGGGACTGGACCTGGACTCCTCGGTGTCCAGAGCTGTAGGAAATACGTGCCCTTCTTCATAAATTGCCCAAGCTCAGATATTTTGTTACAGCAGCCAAAATGGGCTAATGTTACCTAACAAACAACAGGAATTTTCTCTCCCAACATGTCAGTCTAAAATTTTGCTCATTACACAATGCAGGAACAATAAGAGAAAAGTTGCTAGAATCCGGCTAAGAGGGATCTTGGAGAACTTAAATGTAACTTCTTGCTTTGTCTGTAAGAGCTATTTTTGGAGTTATTTTACTTAGCTCATAACTACCACCCCCCACTGTTCGTAGTCTGATGCAAGAGGAATCGTGGCGTGCACACTGCATGGAGTCAAGCAGCCCTGCATGGATGGTAGTGTGACCTGTGGCAGCCACGTCTCCTCACAGAAAATGTGGGGACTACCATCTTCCTGGAAAGGTTGTGTTTTCAGGTCATTCCATGCTGTAGGTGGCTGCCCCTGTGCGGGAGACTGTGGTGAATCAGCTTCGTTTGGATCCAAGACTCTGTGCCCACACTTGCTGCTCAGGCTTGTCCTTCTTCTAGCTTCCTATAATTCCCATGGACACTGTGGTGGCTCATCCTTTTGGAACAGAAGGACTCATTACAGAACAATATTCTGGTGTGTTATAAGGCTCTTTTAGGCCCAGGGAAGCCTTGCTTGAAGATGGAATTTTCAGATGTACAAGAGAACTCATACAAGAATGAAATACTCAGATTTCTCTCCCAGATGGTTATCTCTGTTGGGAGCCAGCTTCCTTTGTCCGAAATGTTGCCAGGGCTGGTGGAGTTTAGCCTTCAGGAGAGTCTTCAGCTTCTTGACACGCACCATTCCCTCATTCCTTCTTTCATGCACGCACACAAGCATCCATTTTGAGACAAGGTCTCACATGTACCAGGCTGGTCTTGAACTTGCTGTAGAGTTAATGACATTGAACTTTTGATCCTCCTGCCTCCCAGGTGCTTGGATTTCAGGCATGCACTACTACACCCAGTTTTGTGCAGTGCTGAGGAAGACACCCTGCACACTACCAGCCTAGCCTCACTCACAGCCCTTCCCATCACTTGTGTTGGAAACACCTTCTCCTCGGGACTGGCGCGGCAGGTGCCCAGCTAGCCGGACGCAGACAGAGCTGGGCAATCTCTGCACCAGCGCTGGAGCCGGCGCCTCACGAGTCCTGGACATGCGGTTTGTCAACTCTTCCTTCCTGGAAACCAGAGAAGGAAATGGCTGCTTCTCGGCAAAGGAAGTGATTTGCAGAGGCTTGAAGGAAGCAGTTTTAATCTCGCCTTAAAGGATGTGAGGAGGGGCTTCGTGGGTCCTGAAGAAGGTCTCAGGAGAAGAAACAGTAGCTGTACAGATGAAGCAGAGAGCCATGGTGGCCCCGGAAGTCACGGAAGATCATCTAAAGGACAAGACACAGAGAAGGGAACATAGAAACATAGCATGTATTGAATGACACGGTGGCCATTCTCTAAGATGCTCCCCAGTGACCTCTGCCTCTTGCTTTTCATACCCAGTGTAAGGGACCCAGACTCACTAACAATCACATGAGTGAGCAGGGCTGTATCGTTCCCCCATCCCAGCCAAGCCTTCAGATGAGACTGCATAGCCAACTGCTTGGTGGCTGTCTCACAAAGGACATTGCCTTATGGTTTTAAGCCACTAAATTTGGGGATAACCTGTTACACTATGATAAGTAACTAATACGGACATTTACTCCAATATGTCAGGCATTAAGGTAGCTGTTTCATCTAACTAACTAATCAACAGTGTTAGACGGTTATTTCTAATGATGTGCGTGTTAGTTGTCCCCCTACAGGCCCATATGTTTGAACACTTCAGTTCCCAGACAACTGTTTTGGGAGATGGTGGAATCTTTTGGACATGTGACCTTGTTGGCAGACATAGGGCTGCAAGGCCATAAGGGGGACTTCCAGGTCATACCCCACCTAGGTCTTCCCATGTCTCTTGGCTTCCTGTTTGGTACCATGAAACAAAGGCTACCACAGAGAACCCCCCAGCACACCTTTCCCATTGCGAAGGTCTTGAGTCTTCTTAAACCACGAGGTAAAATGAGGCCCTCCTTGTATCACTGTGCACCAGGTCACAGTGATAGGAAAAGGAACTAACTCAATATCAGTGTTCCAGTGGTTCCAATAAATAACGCTGAAGTTTAGACATCAGCGCAGCTCCTGCTCTGTATTTACAGGCAGAAGAATGTGTCCTCATAACTTGGGCACTATGTATTCTGGAAGGAGTCCCTAAAGGCTGTAGTTAAGCGCATTCCTGCTGTCCTTCTGTCCTGTTCCGTACCCCCAAAGTCTTTTTTACTTCTTAGTTCTCACATCTCAGAAGAGCTAGACAAGCTTGGAATTCCTCTGCTCAATGATCTTGACAGATTGTGTCATTATCTGCAGACCCATCCTTCACAGAACAGGGACCTGCGCCCCTTGTCCCGTGTCTCCTTCACAGAACAGGGACCTGCGCCCCTTGTCCCATATCTCTTTGCCACACCCTTCATCCAATGTTGTGTGAGAGCCAAAGTTACATTTCAAGTTTTAATTACTGTGCCTAAGAGATCCAGGAAACAAAATTGCCTCTGATCTGCAAGCCCCTTGCCCAAGGACAGATAGTTCCTGAAATGCTGGAGGCTATTGTTTATGGGAGATAATAAACCACATATTTTCACTCCCCTAAACAAGTTTGTTTGACCCATCTGTACCAGATGCACTTGTTCACATGTGGGTGTAAGGTATGCTTGCCCCCGATTGGATGTAGGCTAGGGGTACCCCAGGATGTATGCTTGCCCCGATAGGATGTAGGCTGGAGGTACACCAGGATGTATGCTTGCCCATGAGTCGATGTAGGCTGGGAGTACACCAGGATGTATACTTGACCATGATTGGATGTAGGCTGGGAGTACACCAGGATGTATGCTTGCCCATGATTGGATGTAGGCTGGAGGTACACCAGGATGTATTCTTACCTCTGATAGGACCTGGTAGGAAACACTTAAGCCACTGCAAACCGTGATTCGGGGCCCTTTTTTGGAGGGGGCGGAACCAGAGATGGATCTGAACAGAGCCCATCCATCAGGCCAGTATTTAATTAAAGCATGCTTCAAATTTGGCTTTAAACTGTGGTAGTGGTCTTATTCTCGATCAGTGGGATGAACAGTAGTCCTTACCATTCAGTGGTACCCAAGTGGGTGGTGGCATCTTTCCCATTTTCTTATATCATAGTGCTAGGTGAAGCCAGAGGGTCCTGTGTTCCCTGTGAGGAATGGGGGACTCTAGCTGTGAGTGTTCTTCCCTGGTCTCTGATAAAGAAACAGAATTTCTCCCAACCTTATTATCCTTCTCACACAGCTTCATTGGAAGTGAGGCCTTTACAGGGGCCAGAAGGTCCCGACCTGCCAGATGCTGAGTGTCCCACCTGGGGACCTTTCTCTTTCCTTCCTCTCACATCACCTACTAGCAGCCTCAGACCTTTGACACAGCGGCAGAGTCGTGAGAGGTCTGTCATGAATGATTACCTTTGGTGAAGACGAAAAACAACTAATTCAAGAGGAGAGTCATAAAGGACCTTTGCACCTCAGTTCTCGATTAACCCTTAGTTAACCCTCGGCAGGAACAAGTAGTGACCTCCAGCGCAGAAGGGTTAGTCCAAAGGCAACCACTCCCTGGTGGCAGGAGAGCTGAGCTCTTGACCCAGCATGATATCCAAGGACTGGTGGACCCTGGACTGGGTACCTGGTTTGTGGGGGCTGCTGCCTGTTCACTAAATAAGGGATCTAAATCAGAGCGCCCCCAAATTCCCTTCTGGAACCATCTTTGTAGGGCTAGCCTCGGAGAGATATGCCTCTTCCTGTTTCCTTGGCCTCTGTTCACACTGGTCCTCTCTGTTCCTGGTGTTGATGATGATATGACTGACTGGCACAGAAGTGTCCTACTGATCGGAGGCTGAGGCACCTGGGGCCCTGCCCCCTGGTAAAGAAGCAGAGTCCCCTTGGATCTGAACAAGCCAGGAGCCTTACAGAAAGAAGCACAGCACAATGTTTATGAGCCAGAAGCAGCCCACTCACCACCCCCATCTACCACCCCCACCACCTGCTGGCAGGTGGGGAGAGGATGGGACAATGACCCGGGGAAGCAAACACCCTGGCAGCTTCTCCTTCCAGGAACTGGGCTCACTCCGTCTATAACTGGGAACTTGGCGGCTCTGTGGAGGCTCACTTTACAGAGGTGGGAAGTTAGACAAGGCTAAAATCAAGACTCAGAACTCAGCTCTGACCCAGGCTCAGGAGACATTGGCATCTCCTTAATCAAGCCCACAAGCATTTCCTAGGTTTAAAGGGGCCTCAGTAGACCACCAGCGTTAGCTTTCCGGTGCTTTATTCGGCATAGACCTGACGTGACGATCTCCCACCCCACCAGCAGCTTTGTAGGGTGGACTCGCAGGAAACTGTAAGCTGGAGAAAGTAGGGGTGTTCTGCCTTGTGCCTGCTTTCTCCTAGAACTTCTCTTTCTCCAGAGATGCTTTTTGACCCCCCACAACAGGGGCCTCGACTGGTGTAGAAGGGTGGACACAGGCTCCCTCTTATCTTATCCTGACCTCTTTATCAGGGGTGGCTCACTCCAGGGCTGAGTAGGACCTGCCTCTCCACCCCTGCACCCCCTCCTTCACCTCCCCTGCCCAGCTCCTCCAGCCCTGCCTCCAGGCAGCTCTGCTCCTGGGGCACTTTCCCTGTCAGTGGCTGTTGTGGGCAAATCACTCTGAGAAAGCCAGGCAGCTGGACTGAATGTGTGCACGCAGAGCACAGAATCGGGGCTGGTGAAGGCAGAGAAGAAAGGAAATTCGTGAAACCCGAGCCAGATGACGAGCCTCCCACACCAAGGCAGGACTCAGAGAACATGGCCTTGCATCCTGGCATTAGCTGCTTCAAGAAACAGTTTTGGTCAGGTGGTGGTGTTGCATGCCTTTAATCCCAGCACTTGAAAGGCAGAGGCAGGTGGAGTTCAAGGCCAGCCTGGTCTACAGAGTGAGTTCCAGGACAGCCAGGGCTACACAGAGAAACCCTGTCTCGGCAGTAGGGGTGGGGGTGGGAGAGCAGTTTTGAGAAAAATACAATGTGATCATTTGGTTCCAGGAGACCATGGGGTCTGGAGTTATTAGGGTCAGAGTTTAGGCTCTGGTGGTCATAACAAGCAAGACTCAACCACCTTGAATAAACAGAAAGCAAGAGTGAAGAGCGGAGCAAGAGATTATTTACTCGGTGTGCTCACACTGGGAAGAGAAACAGTTAAGGGGGTGCATTACCCCCACCCCTGCATGTGCGCGCACCCTCCCATTCCCACCCATTATTGATCCGACCTTGTCTCTGGCTCCAGTCTGTGGTCCAGAGACACATTCCCCCTCTGGCTGGGGCCAGGCGTTTCCCCTCCCCCAGTGTGGGATTCCCGGGAAATTCCAGTTCCTCGAGCTCTTTTGTTTCAGCAGTCTGACGGCCAACCGGGCAGTGTCTCTCTTTAGAATGCATCGTCCCTCCTGCCTGAGCATCCTCAGGGTTTTTCCATCTTCTTGGCCTTGGGGCCAGGTGGAGGCACACCAGCTGCTTTTCCAAGCAGGGCAAATGGAGAGCTCCCTCCTCGTGCCCCCCTCCCTCCTCGTGCCCCCTCCCTCCTCGTGCCCCCTCCCTCCTCGTGCCCCCTCCCTCCTCGTGCCCCCCCTCCCTCTTCCCAAGGACTTTCTGCCAGACCTTGTGCAAGATACTGGGCATCTGCGGAGATCAGAGGCAAGGCGGGCACTGCCCCTCTGGCTCTGGAGTCCCATAGGAGAGAGAGAGGCACCCTGTCTAGATACAGCAGTTCTGAAAAAGCCTGCCATGCTGAGGTTCCTAGGCCCTGAGATGTGATGTGGCTGAGCTGGAGGACAGGGGAGGCTTTGTTGAAAAGAGATTCTCGGGTTGATCCCTGAGGGGTGCAACCATGGATGCTCGGAGTGAGACTTGCAGGCAGAGGCGAGGGCAGGAGCAGGGTGGAGGTCAGCACAGAGCACATGAGCCATGATGACCTGCTTCTGTGCTGTGAGTGCTGTGTGACCTGCGGTAAGACTGCAGCGGAAGGACCTTTAAGGTACACTGCATGTATATTAGGGCATCTTGCGTGGTGGCGGCCATGGAAGGGGCATCTCCACTCTCTGTCAAGCAGTGCCCCTAGATGGGGTCTCCAGGTTCAGCCCTTAAGCAAGGATGTATACATGAGGAAATGGCTGAGATCAGGGTAGGGACAGGGGCACAAGGCAGGGGAGATGGCTCTTCTCAAATGCTGCATGTCCCTTCTGGAGCTTGAGAAGGCAGACCATCCCAGAAAGAGGCTTCCTTGTGCCACCTCTACCCTGCTACACCCCAGGTAAGGTGAGCCACCCACCTGAGTGATGAGTCAGGGAAGAAGGCTGGACAGGCATGTGGGTGGCATGGCAGGGCACCCAGCATCCCGAGGGATAGGAAAGCCAGTTCTCCACTAGACCCCCTTCCTCATGAGTATCTTCCCAGAGACCCACTTGCCCATCTTCTGCAAGCTGCCTGTACTACTCCCCCTTCCCATCTCCCTAGCTCTCTGCAGACTGCCACCATCACCATGGCTACGCCTGCTTCTGCCTCTGCTCTGCTCTCAGCAGGAGTCAGAGCTGGGGGAGGGAGGCTGTCTCAGTAGTCTTCCTATTGAGCTGGGATCTCTTTTTTTTTTTTTTTTTGGTTTTTTCGAGACAGGGTTTCTCTGTGTAGCTTTGCGCCTTTCCTGGATCTCGCGCTGTAGACCAGGCTGGCCTCGAACTCACAGAGATCCGCCTGGCTCTGCCTCCCGAGTGCTGGGATTAAAGGCGTGCGCCGCCACCACCGCCCGGCCGAGCTGGGATCTCTTAAAGTCAGCCCAGGGCTACACCAGGCTCAGCCCTTCCTTTGAAGGCTCACCTTCCACAGAAAAGACAGGACCAACCAAACAGGAAATCCTAGCCCAGGGAAGCTTAGTTATAGCCTGAAAGGATGTGTGTGTGTGTGTGTGTGTGTGTGTGTGTGTGTGTGTGTGTGTGTGCGTGCATACACACACACACACACACACACACACACACACACACACACACACACACGAGTGCCAGTATACATGTGTACATGTGTAT